GGGGGAATATGTACTGGTCGTGGTTGATTATTACAGCCGATATTTCGAAGTGGACATTCTGACGTCCGTGACATCCACTAAAGTCATTGAGAGTTTGGATAAGATTTTCTGTACCCATGGGTTACCACAGTCGTTGAAAACTGACAACGGTTCACAGTTTGTGTCCGATGAATTTGAACGTTTCCTGGAAACAAATGATATAGAACACCGCACCTCGACCCCCCTATGGCCTCAAGCAAATGGGGAGGTTGAAAGACAGAACAGAAGCTTGCTTAAAGCCCTTAAGATTGCTAAAGCTGAAAAAAAGAATATCTGGACCGAGATGCGAAAGTTCTTAACAGCCTATAGAACTACACCTCACACCAGTACAGGCGTCACACCGGCCAAACTCCTGTTCAACAGGGAAATCAGATCAAAGATTCCTGAACTGGGAAACTCGAGGTACTCTGACAGTGAGGCGAGAGACAAGGATGCAGAGATGAAGCAGGAGAGAACCGACTATGCTGATGGGAAAAGGAGAGCTCGAGAGAGCGAACTAGAACCTGGTGATTTAGTACTCCTAAAACATTAGAAAGACAACAAACTCTCGACTACTTATGGCCCACTGCCATATAGCATCAGCAAGAAGCACGGTAACGAAGTCATCATATCGTCACCCGAAGGAGTAAACATGAGGAGAGACGTGGCCGATGTTAAGAAATACTTGAGAGAGGTTACAACCGCAGATGAACAAGTTACTGGAGATGACTCTTCTGAGGAAGATGACACTGGAAGGAGAACAGAACCCCAAGGGAGACCAGTAAGGGAAAGGAAGCCACCGGAGTACTTAAAAGATTACGAAGTGTACGAAATCTGTTCGGTGAAAGAGTGAGACTTTGTTGAACATTTATTGAACATTTTAATTCGTTTACTGAAGACTTTAATCCGGCTCGTGTTGGAGACGTTTTGACCCGTTCATGTTCTTTCGTTATGTTAAGTCTTCTCCATAGGAGAAGGGGGATTGTAGTGTATGCCGGGATATACGAAACACTATTATAGGATAGGAACGAGAAGACGAGAGTATGGAGTTGGAGAGTTAAGGACCGCGGTGTAATGCGGTTTAATCCGTTGTTTAGATACGCATATTAAACTCTACAGTTTATTACTAACGAAATCACCTTTCGACCTCTTTGATACGTATAAACACCTTTAAACTTTAAGGTTTCACCATCATTGTTGCTGATCACGAAGAAGTGGTGGCTCTTTTTTTCACTCAGATCTTTGAATGTGGATAATGTACCAGACACAGACAATTTTTGTCGGCCTTGGACAAATCCTGTCATATGTGGCTTAACCTCTCGCAAAATTGACATTGCATAAATTTTTTTTCTCCCATGAAAGTTGACAGCCTGAGCATTGACTCTCACTCCTTGTCCAGCAAAAAAGAGAAATAAAAAAGCTTTTAACACTACAAAGGTTTGGTATGAAATCACTTTTGGAAAGGTACCTCGCGGTACATGTCTAATCAATCACTTGAAATGGCAATCGGCAATCTAACACTAAATTACATTAGCCTTCGACTTATTCCACAACTAGAGACACCCAAAGACTTTAGGGGTCTACTACTATTCTTGCTATATATTTTATCTCAAAATCATTGACGGCCTAAGCATTGTCTCTTGCTCATTGCCTTCGGAAGATTACCTCCCGGTACATGTTTAATAGATCATCTGAGGTGGCTAGCCGTAATCTGCGTCAATCGCTTACATCCTGCATTTAGACTCCTGAGTAGTTAAGCAAATTTGAAGCAGTCAATTCAAGCAAACCGAATAAAGATATTTCGAGTCAGCCTGGTTTCTCTGGGTATTTTATTTGCACCTGAAAGATATCAAGAACGTTGCCGCTGACTTTTTATCTCCCTTCTTATGCTCGACCGTATATGTCTCTAACAAACGAAAGCGCCCGAAGTCACTTGATGGTTGTTACTGTTTCTTTGACACTGTTTAGCTGTGAAAATTGCAAACAAAAGTACCTGGATTCATTTGCAGCCCGTCGTTGTTTTGCTGACAATATTTCAAGCCGAAAATTGAGATCTGCATTTTTTACTCTTTTACGTATGAAGATGCATTGTATTTTTCTAAGTTTGCCTTAAAACGAGCTTAAATCGGGCTGAAAAACATGGTTTTACAAAACATCTGGCTAAAATCACTTTAAATTACCCAACAGCTTTATGTGACCAAGTTGGTTGCAGTAGTCCGACTGCCTCAAATAAGTGAATCAGTTCCACTGACCCAACTGACTGGATTGACCCAACCGGCTGAAATGACTTAGTTTCCTCTAACTGACTGCCTGACTGACTCCATGACTGACAAGTTCAATGACTCCTTGTGCGATTGTTCGACTGATATGCTTACTGAATGGTTGACAGACGACTGGTTGGCTGACTGACTGACTAGTTGACTGACCTCCTGACTTAATGACTGACTGACTGGCTAACAACTGGCTCACTGCTTTGCTGACTGACTCGTTACTGACTGGCTGATTGACTGTTTGACTAAGTGACTGCATAATGACTGGCTGGCTGGCTGACTGACAGGTTGACTGACTGATTAATTGACAGGTTGACTCACTCATAGACTGACTCGCTTACTGACTGACTGACTGATTGATTGACTGGCTGGCTGACTGCTCTGCTGATTGACAAGTGACTGACTGGCTGACTGGTTATTTTACTGACTAACTTCATGACCAGTGACCGGCTGCCTGACTGACTATTTCATTGTCTGGTTGATTAACTGTTTGACTGACTGACTTAATGGTGTCTAACTGGTTGACGGACTTGTTGACTGACTGACTGGTTTACTCACTGCTTGACTAACCTGTTGACGGACTGAATAACTAACTGACTTGCTAACCGACTGACTGACTGACTGGTTTACCGACTAGTTGATTGACTGACTGGCTAACTGACTATAAATGTGTCTGAATTTCTTCAAATCAAATCGTTCCAAACACAATCCGTCTTATATCACTGAGTTGCCCCAAATTACCCATTAGGTCGCACTGACCCAACTGCCTCAAATGACCCAGTCCGTTGCAATAACCCAACTACCTTATTTAACGGAATCCGCTCCGGTGATCCAACTAACTTTATTGAACCAATTGCAAGTGGTTCAAATTACTAACTTGCGTTTGAATGACTGACTGGCTGACTAACTGCTTGACTGACAGAGTAACTGACTTTCTGACTGACTATTTTGTGGATTGATTGGCTGATCAACTTTCTGAGTGACTTACTGACCAATCACTCAGCAAGTCGATCAAACAGTCAGTCAACCAGTCAGTCAGCCAATCTGTCGACCAGTCAGTCACCACACCAGTCAACCAGTAGGTCAGTCAGTCAGTCAGTCAGTCAGTTAATCTGTCAGTAGGCCGGGCAGTCAGCCAATAGGTCAGTCAGTCAGCCAGTCAGTCAATCAATCAAGCAGTCAGTCCGCTAGTTAGTGAACCAGTCAGTCAAAAAAAACAGTCAGTCGACCACTTAGTTAACATATCAGTCAGCCAGTCAGTCACCAGTAGTCGGTGAGTCATTCAGCTAGTTAGTCAACCAATCAGTCCGTCAATCAGCCAGTCAGTCAGCGTGTCACTCAGTCAATCAACCAGTCAGCCAGTCAGTTAGCCAGTAACTCAACCAGTCAGTCACCGAATCAGTCGACCAGTCAGTCAACGCGCCAGTCAACCAGCCAGTCACCAGGTCAGTCAGTCAATCAACCAGTCAGATAGCTAGCCAGTTAGTGAAGAAGTCAGTCCGAAAAAGTCAGTCAATCACTTAGTCAACCTGTCAGTAGTCTTTGAGTCACCGGTTGGAAAACATGGACTTCCGTAATCGGAACCGGAACATTCGGGATACCCGGAATTCCCGGAATGTTCCAAAATGATAAGTTTTCAAAAATTTTTACGTTATTTAATGGTTAAAGATAACAAATCTTAATAACTAAATAGTTAATTAGTTAAATAAAAAAAAATAAAGCAAAAAGAAAAAGAAAACAGGGAAAATCAGTTCTCTATAAAAAAAGTTTCTCTCAGTAAAGTGCAAGCTACCACGTGACTTAACAAAAAATAACTTCCTAAGGTAATGTTCACGGGGATGTGCGTAGCAGAACTACATGTAGCTCACAGCCTACAATATACAAACCTGCTTCAAGAGAACTCAGCAAGCCAGACAGTTAATAAGTCAGTAAACAGGTCAGTCAGTAAGTCAACGGTCAGTCAGCTGGTCAGTTAATCAGTCAGTCACCCAGTCAGTCAGACAGTCAATCGGTAAGTCAATTAGTCAGCCAGGAGGTAAGTACCAGTGTGTCAGTCAACCAGACGGTCAACCAGTCAGTCACGTGCCACTTAACCAGTCAGTCACCAGTCAGCTACTGTCAGTCACCCGTTGGTCAGCAAGTCATTCAGCAGTGATGTAGCCATTCGGGTACTTATGAGTCAGTCAACCAATCAGTTAGTCAACCAGTTAGTCAAACAGTCAGGTACCACTGAATTAGTCAACCAGTCGGTCAGCCGTGCTGTCACCAGTCAGTTAGGCACACAGTTAAACAGTCGGTTAGTAAGTCAGTCCACCCTTCAGGTTGCCAGTCAGTCAGTCAACCAGTCATTCCGTCAGTCGGGCACCAGTCAGTAAACAGTTGGTCAGTCAGTGAATCAGTCAGTGACCAGTCAGACAAGTAATCATTCAGCCAGTCAGGTACCAGGGACCTAGTCAACCAATCAGTCAACTAGCCAGTCAGCCAGTAAAGTAAAAGTAAGCCAGTATAAAGTCAGCCTCCCAGCTGTCAGCCGCCAGTCGGTCAGCAAGGTAGTAAACAGCTCCATTAGCCAGTCAGGTACCATTAAGTCAGTCAGTCAGTCAGTCAGTCAGTCAGGCGCCAGTCAGTCAGTCAGGCACCAGTCAGTCAGCTTGTCAGGTCGGTCAGGACGTCAGTCAACCAGTCCCTAGACTAGTCAGTCAACCAGTCAGTAATACAGTCAAATAGCAGTGAGTCAGTCAACCAGTCAGTCAACAAGTTCGCCACTACTCAGTTAGCCAGTCAGTCACCAGTTGGTCAGCAAGTAAGTCAACCAGTCAGTCAGCCAGCCAGGTACCTTTAAGTCAGTGAACCAGTCAGTCAAGATGTCAGTATACCAGACAGTTACCACTCAGTTACCAAGTCACTCACCAGTCGGTCTGGAGGCAGTCAAGCAGTCAGTCATGATACCCGATACAAGTAGGTCAGTCAACTAATCAGTCAGTTAATCAGTCAGCCAGACAGTCAGTCACCAGTCATCGAGCCAGTTAGCTAACACAGTAAGCCAATAAGTAAGCTAACACAGAAAGTCAACCAATAAGTCAGAAAATCAGTCACCTGTCAGTTTGAAGGTCAGTCACCAGTACGCCAGCAAGGCAGTGAACCGGCCAAGTAGCAGTGAATTAAGCAATCTGTCAGTCAGGTAGTCACCAGTCAGTCAGCCAGTTGGCTACCCAGTCTGTCAACTGTCGGTCAACACGTCAATTAACCAGTCAGTCAGGCACTCAATCTACAATTCAGTCAACCACTCAGTCCAAAGAAATTTAGTCAGTTGGGTTGCCAAGTGCCAATGAGTCAGTCACATGTCAGTCAGCCAATGAGTTAGCCATTCAGTCACCAGTCGGTCATCAAGTCAGTCAACCAGTTAGTCAACCAATCAGTCAACCAATCAGTAAGCCTATCAGCAACTAATGAATCAGTCAACCAGACAGCAACCCAGTCATCAGTCAGTTACCCAGTCACTCATTGGTCAGTTAGCCAGTCAGTAATTTTTCTTGTCAACAAGGTAGTCAACGAGTCAGTTAGCAAGTGAGGTACTAGTGAGTCGGTCATTCAGTCAGTAAGCCAGTCGGTCACCAGTCGGTCAGCAAGTCCCTTGACATGTCAGTCAGCAGATCAGGTACCAGTGAGTCAGTCAACAATCATATAGCCCGTCAGGTACCACTCAGTCAGTCAATCGGTCAGTCAGCTGGTCAGTTACCAGGCAGGAAATCAACCATCAGTCAGCCAGTCAGTCGTCAGTCAGTTAGCCAGTCAGTCGCTGGTCCGTTAGTCAGTAATTCACTATTCCGTCAATAAGGCACTCAACGAGTGACTCAGTAGGTCAGGTACCAGTGAGTGCGTCAGTCAGTCACCAGGCAGTCAGCCAGTCAGTTAGTTAGTCAGTTAGACAGTCAGTCACTGGTCAGCTAGCCAATCAGTCACTATTCCATCGGCAAGGCAGTCACCGAGTCAGTGAGCGAGTCAGGTAACAATGAGTCGGTCAGCCAGTTAGTCATCAGTCAGCTGGCCAGTCAGTCATTGGTCAGTTAGCCAATCAGTCACTATTCCGTCAGCAAGATAGTCAACGAGTC